GAGGTTATTCGACATGCTGACCATCAATACCATATTCATTCCTCTCGAAAACGCCTTATGGTGGGGTTAGGGTAGGACTATCGTATGTTGTCAGGATCCCAGAATTAGCTAAAACTCTGCGTAGGGGGGAGAGGATTATTTGACATGTTGATCGCAAGTACCACAATTTCCTGCTGAAGACCTCTCCTTGTACGGTCACGGTAGGTATATGGTAAGGGGTCAAAACCGTAAGTCTGCCTGCAACTTTGTACAGGGTGTTATTTGATGTGCTCCTCACGAATACCGCGCTCAAAGGCCTTCTCGTGGACTTTTAGGATCTTAATTGGTATGAAAAGGGGAAGATGCTTCTCTAAGCGCTGCAAATTGCCATAACTCCACAACAAAGCGTCGTTATAGCGAGCAAGCCTGACGTTAACAGCATACTTGAAAACCCCTCTAGGCAACGTTCTAAGCAATTTTGAAATTTTCACCCATGTACCGTGTACCTACCGTAACTCGAGAAAATGGCGCTACCGTACAAAGCCAATATGATATCCATGTCCAGCGTGCTAAATAACCCCTCCATACCGAATTCCAGCCAAATTCTGATTCCACCCCTCTACCGTACTCCTAACGTAACCGTACAGGGAGAGGGTTTCGTGCGGAAAAAGGGTGATATTCCTGATAATCAGCATGTCGAATACCCCCCCCTACGCAATGTTTTAGCGAATTCCGAGATTTTGACCCCATACAGTATGCCTGCCTTAAAGCAGCGTCCCGGCAGATTTTGCATTTTCATCTTTTTGCATGTTTTGGGCCTTCTCGACCCGTAGATCCCGAATCTGAGCTTTAAAAGGGGTGAAAAGGCCTTTCTTGGGGCGTTTTTTTCAACTTCCAAAAGGCAGCTCGGACGAGAATTTTCAGAGGAAAGTCGGGAGGTCCTGGCACGAAGACCCTGCTGCCTGTAATTTTGGCTTTGTATAGCATGCACAATGCGGGAAAGCGGTTGGGGGGTCCCGCGCCGTCTAGCGGAGAATACTCGTCCGAACAAGGTGTTAGGGGAGCGAAAGGAGGAAGGGAAGCGGCGCTTAGGCCGCCCCCTGGCTTGCAGAGTTCACATTTTCGGCGCGGAGTTGCTGTTTTGGTTCACTTGGAGGGCTTCCTACATCTGTGTCAAAATCTGAGGTAGGTCAATCTGCCGAGCCGCTGCCTTTAACCCCTCAAAAAACTCCACCACGCGAAATGGACATTATATTCGTGGGTCGATTAAGCCCCCTGTGGCCGCATTCATCAACGAACCCAATATGTCCCGGATCCCACTGGTTAGCAAGCCACGAGATCGGTATTCATGAAGATAGTGGGTTCGCGAACACAGCAGTGCTATTTGTGAATATTAATCCAACCCAGTGGCACTGTTTCCCCTTGAAGGCAGCGTCCAGGCAGATCTGGACCTATGGGGATTCAACGTGGAATGTACTTTCGGGGCCCTAACCAAGGCACTGCTCAAGCGGCAGCGCAGGTAGTGCTCTAACGGCTGAGATATCCCCCTCGAAACTGGACCCCGCGATCGTATTCCCATAGATTCATGGCATTTTCGCGCCAGGATCCACGCTTTACGCCATGAATCCATGCAAAATACGATCGCGGGGTCCAGTTTCTAGGGGAATATCTCAGCCGTTAAAGCACTACCTGAGCTGCTGGTTAGGCAGTGGCTTAGTTAGGGTCCCAAATTTACTATCCACGTGAGATCCCCATGTGTCCAGACTTACCTGGACGCTGCCTTTAAAGGCAGTGTCCGAGCAGGATGGGGGTTTTGGGATTTCAGTGCCATGCGAGAGTGGCTCCCCTCAGACACAAAACCGCGCAAGTGTGACGTCATAACGCTCTACCTAAAACAAGAAAAACGACCGGAAAGTAGGGGAACTTACGTCATGGGGCGGGGTCCTCCGAGCTGTCCGAATTCCCGCTGTGCGGCAGAGTGCGCATGCCGCCGCAGATAAAATGTAGGGTCCCGCAGCGGCTCTGCGTCTCTGCCTTGGTGGGTACCGTCAAATTTCAAACTGTGCGGCTTTGGAAAACGTATGTTCTCGCCATTTTCGCGCCTCTAATGTGGATATACGGTTTCAGCGTTGCGGATAATTCCCGGTAAGTGGATTTTCTAGAAATCAAGTTTTTGGCCGGACACTGCCTTCAACCACTGGGTAGCGGGACCCACGTTCGTTGATGAATACAGCCACCGGACGAGTTTTCAGCGAAATCCGTGGTTTTTGGGTTGTATTGAGTGGAATAGCGCAGCCTGGGAGCCACTAGCTTTTAAATAAGCTCTGGTGAAGCTAAACGCAGCAAATGTTTAGTTCTTCCACGGCTTGGCTGATCCTGGATTGGATGAACATCAGCTGCACATCACAGTGCGATGCTCGGATGGCAGCGAGGAAGGAAAGTTCCAATCAAGTCATCAAATTCTGTTTGTCACTAACTCATGTTGAGGTCCTTGCAGTACCATGTCTTATTGGAAAATGTCTAGATGGCAGGCTCCACTAGCTCTGGCCCACCAAAGTGCTAAGCGAATTAACAGCAAATTTTGGCGGCTCGGTGGGATCAGCACCTTCCGCAAGTGCTCGCCGCAGCTACATCCTAGATCCCTATTGTCCCCTACATGATATCGCGCGTCCGATAAGGTTACCTGCTCCTTACCGGAAGTACTGAGGACTCCTACACGTATAACGACACAATAATAGAGCATAAACGCTGATGAAATGGACCGACTAGATTAAACACATTTATCCTTAAACCCAAAAAAATCAAACTACATCCTAAAACTACTGAACGTGTAAAAGAAGAAGAAACACGGGGCCTCACCTAACAGATCCGTCGCCAGTCACCCAGACCCGAAGGAAACAGCGCAACCCTCCTCGCTCCCGATAATTCTAGTTCAACAACGCTTCCAAAAGGGTTGCTTTCATCTTGCGCGTCCTGCGCTTGAACTAATCCAAAATCCTATGCAACCGTTTCTATGCTTGGTTTACAACAAACACGTGCAATGCGAGAGCTCAGGGCACGATGATGCAATATTGAAACCACAGACAAAGTCATCAATATAGACAAGCGGACAATAACTAATGAGGCGCCGCCGCTTATATAGCCGCTTTCTTGGCCAAGCGCCAGCAAGGAGAGGTCCGGCGGCGATTGTCATCCGCAGTGCAGAGGATAGTAAGTGAGTCTCGCTGTCAATAAAGGAATGCTCAATCTCGCTTAAGTGTTCGCTTTTGCTGCTGTGGTTCGCATTCTTCGGAACTGCAGCACGTATACGAAGCTAAGAGGCTACCGTAATCGCGACCGGATGTGCAAATCAACCAGTGCTCCTGGCCTCCTACTTTGAGGAGCGCGTGCATCGCTACCCGCGACAACAATTCACGGAAATTCTGCAAGACAAGCAAAACTTGCAGCGGTTCGGCCACTGCTCAGATAATCGCCGGGGGTAGGCGGCCATGCGATTTTTGTTCAAGCGGGCACCGAAAGAATAGTCCGCTGATTTCTTGCGGTCCGCTTGCAGAAATTTCGAAGAATGTTGGCCAATTTTTAGGCGAATGCTCGAAGAACAATCACGGTTTTTATGTAGATTACTTGCGGCGCAGTGGCCGCATTCTCGCGGAATTCACGAGAATATGCAAATTATTGAGGTCCGCACGGTCCTTTGTAAGGGATCGCACAGCTCCTAGGTACCTTCCGCTAAAAGAAGGTACCACAAACTCGGGTAAATAAACCATGGATGACACCTCTGCCACATAGAGTCTCACCTTTGCTCGGCATACGGCCGAAACTGCGTAAAAAGACTCCGAGCGCTTGCTGAAAGTTTGGCCAGCGCTGCTGAAAGAAACTATTTGCCGAGCGCTTACAGAAAGTGCTGTATTGCTGCCCTCTGGCAGAATATGCGACCGTAAAGGAAGTGCCGCCCGCTGAAGGTTTGGCCACGCCCCACTCTGCTGACCGCTTGCAGAAAAGCGCGAGTTTGCGAACCGCCTGCCCTCGGCGATTATCTTAGTGAGTGGGTAGAGGACTTTACATCGCCGAAAAGGGCCACCCCGCGGTCATTTGCAACAAATACACACCGTTGCAAATGCACGAAGATGCGCTTTGCACCGCGCGGGACCCTCCCACATTCGGCGACATATGGTCCTCCACCCCGCAACTCCTGACCCGCCAGTACTTCTTTTTGAATAAGTTGTCTTTCACGATGGTGCCTCGCCAACAACTAGAGTGCATTGTCAAACATGTCATCCGTAGCGCAGAGGAGAGTAAGTGATCTCGCCGTCAATAAAGGAATGCTCGAATTTCGCTCAGGTGTTCGCTTTTGCTGTTGTGGTTCGCATTCTTCGGAACTTCACCATCACCACGTATACGGAACTTCCGCAGGTGACCCGGCGGAACTTGTCTGAACCTGCAAATGTTCCAGTTACCAGACTGCTTCGCCGCAACATTGTGCAAAGCACGAGATTTTGTGGTACTTCTAGAACGATAGCTGCAAAATTCAACGCAAATCAAATCAAACCGGCCATGAATGACGTCACACAGCCATTTTTTAAGGATTTCTATAGCTGAACAAGCCTAGTGGCTTTACTGCGTCATGTGCGTTGCTGTTAGTGCAGTGCACTTTCGGCATGCTACAGACAGCGCAAACAGAAACTCGATTTGAAGCGGCCGCGAGTATCCTGCATTTCAGGGACGCGAGTGACGTCATCGCCCGTGTTAAATTCATGACGTCATCGAGTGCCGTTTTAATTTCAAGTTGCCTTTAGAAATCTTTATCGGCAATGTTTGTTCTTTTTTGGATCAACTGTTGCGTTTGATGATTATGGGTAAAAGTGTTCGTAGTATCTTGTTTCTTCCAGCTTTGCAGATGGATGTTACTTTTGCAATTTTAAATGCCTTAGATTCTTCACCCCCCCCCTGTCTCCATGCTTTTGTTGTATTTTCAGTACGAATATTATAAACGAGTACAACATTGGATGCTCCGTCATTTTAGGGTTTCATTCTTTATGCGCCTGATCGCATAGAACTAATCGCGCGCAGCCAATCTTCATTCCTCAAATCTACCAAGTATGTCCGTGCAGCAGGGAAACGGAGGCCAGGTCAGTCTAATAGCACATTAAAACTTTTAATTGCTGTTTTGATTTCAAAATGCTTGAGTATGGTCAGCACATCTTATATAAGCATCAAACTATACTTTTGTTTCGTACGTTTGATGATTTTTGCTGTGATTGGCATCTGCAATCAGCTCATTCTCGTTTGAATTTTACTGCTTTTTGTTTTCCTCGGAGTGCTTGCAAGTTTTATTATCATTGTGATCGTTATTTTCGCTGCCTAATCGGCATGGTTTTCATTCTTTACGTTGTAATGTAATAATGTTGTTGTAGGAAAATGCTTCGCAATTTTGCAGCATGTAATAAGACTATCGCAGAGCTTACACTGACTTTTGTGTATGGACCTAAAATTGGAAAAGGCTTCACAAACCCGCAATGCATCCATTTGCGCTTCCTTCTTCTCTAAAAATAAGGTGGCAGTCCTTAGGTCACGGTGTCATACTAGTCAAGAAGTGGTTTTGGTCAGAGCATCACCGTTGCGTTTATATATTTCCGAACCTTTCGATATGTTATGGAAGATTAAATAGTTGCTTTTGTCTTTTCATGGGTGATGCCACTAATATGGAGTACCCATGACTCGCCTGTAATGTCCAAAATAGTGTATACAGCAGATCAAGGGATTTTGGTGTATCTCTGTTTTGCACATTAATAAGAGGTGAAAGTAAATGCTATAATGCAGATGCTTACGGTATGGTGAGTGTTATGGTGAGTATGCGATCTGCATATCCGTTCTGTTCAATTTTTGTGGGTTTTCTTTTGAGCACTGTGTATAGCTCTTAGGCAACAGCTCTGCTAGACATGCAACATGTGCGGTAGCACTTTGATTTGAAGTTTGCAGCAAAACAATCAATGCTTATTATCTGTTGTAGGTTCCATTCTATTTTTACCTACTCTTAATTTTTCTTCTGTGAACTCTGCCGTTTTGCTTGCAAATCTGCCTCTCTTGCCTGTTTTCATTATTTGCGATTGTTCACTGTTCATCACACTTCATAAAGAGTACACGAACTATACCTCGCACATTGTAGTGTTCCCCTAGCAAAAATCTGGTGTGTAGAAAAAAAATTCGTTGTAGCAAGGCTCTTGAGGTTGAATTATCGTGTACCTTGGCAGTAGGAGTCTAGAGAAATTGTAGGCAAGCTACGGATCGTCTGGATAAAAGTATTTTGTAACCTCATATGTGCATTTTCCCCATGGACAATAGGCGAAAAAATCAAGTTTTCATTGGTCAAACTTATATTTGCCAGGTGAGAACTTATTCCTTCATATCAGTATCTTGTGCTCCTTCCACGTGAAGGGGTATATTTTGAAGTTCTAATCAAAAAAAGCAAAATCTAATGATGTTCGGATTGGATGCACTGTTCATATTGAGTGCAATTGCACATACTAGGCTAGAATCGTCCCATCTTCAATAAGTTTTACATAAAGGGCATATCACGAATACTTAGTCTACTACGATGTCACTTATCTGTAGAAAACACCACAGTAATTGTAGTCTGCTGTTTATCGTATACCATGGGATAATGGTCGTCCTCACTCCTCTAGAAAGCGTTGTGAACAAATTTGAGTTTGAAGTGGAGCAGGGAGAGCGCGGCACTGTTACAAGGAAATGGTCAGAAATCGAAGTGGCCAAATCAAGCAAACTGCATACCATTAATCTTCTGTCTTCCTTATCTGCAGATCATCTAAATGGTATTATAAGCCATTAAAAGCCATTATTTTGCTGAGAATTGTGTGTGTAAAGGGCAAACTTGGCCATTCTCGGCTCAGTGTTAAACCAAATCATGCAAATGGGTCGCTTCTTTGACCTGTATCTAGAGGTGAGCTAAAAGAGCAATAATGTGCCAAATTTCGCATATTTTGTGTACGATTTTTTCGCAGTAAAGCTGCCCATAACTTCGCCCACAAAGGCGATCTGCACGTATGGAGGACAGATTTGAAATCAGCGTTTTATGCTGCATCGTACGGTATGCAGCTTGTTTGGATTGTTCACTTCGACTTCTGACCATTCCCTTGTTAGCCCATTTCGAGTTTGCACATCAGTAGGTGATCTTCCAAGCTTTCGTTGTTGCTTGCTAACCGTGTTCAAACAGTGTTTTCAATCAAAATTGACGATTTTGTTATTTTAGAGCCTTCATACGGCTTTGTTCATATTTTTTACTCTTAGAAATTAAGTTCAGAGTAACGTTGTAGATAGAATTTCCGATTTGGAGTCCGCTTCTTGTTACGTAACGTGGGCGAAGAAGTATTAACTATTGATCTGTATTAAACTTCTTCTCTTCATTTCTCCCTGCTTATACCTGAAATCAGACAAAAAGGAAAACAGCTGTATAAAACAGGCTAAACAAAATAAAGAGAAGAATGTCAAGCAAAGATGAGAGGGAGTGTAAATCGAGCGCTAATTTGAACTGAAGGCTGAGAGTGCCATGCTTTGCCTAGGGGACTGCTTCAGTTTAAATTCAGATTTGTCTACTAGACTATAACTGAAATGACGGCGACTATAGCTTGACTTTACTACCGTAGAACTAGGCCTACGCTTTTAGCAAATGCTGTACTTGCAACTTTTGCGGTCACGCTGACTTTACCGCACAACATATATTGTAGGAAGAATATAGTATATTGTAGGTGAAATCAAAACAGGAGTAAATTTCATTTGTAAGCGGCAGTTGCATGTTCAGTAAGATCTAGTAAGAATTTTATACACTCATAGAGTATTTTCGGAGGTGTTGGACCGCTCAAATTACTTCTAAACTGCTGCTCATCCTTTTTTTTTGTAGAAGAATTGTGTTTGATATGGTAATGTATAGATAAAGTATGCCTTTTTACTGAAGATGTACAGTCGCGTTGTTGGTTATCCAAAAATCAATCATCATTCTACTTTCCTACGCTATGTTTTTTGCACCTATACTCTCCATTCTGGTAAGTATCGACGAAGGTGGTATGAGTAATACATCATACATTTTGGTGAGACTCAACCTGGCATCTCGGTCCTTCCATCGTGTGCATAAAAACACTCATGTTGTAATACAACTTCGTTTTTCGCACTGAGCTCAGTTATAATTAATTCTTGACGTTCCTTTGGCTGCGTTCGTGAATTCTTCGCACGGCAATTTGCAGCGGTAGTCATTTCGCATGGATTGAGCTATGACGTGTATTGCTGTATCACTGCCTGATGTTGGTATTCCTTATGTGTTAATCCGCTCATCGCGAAAGCAAGACGCGAATCTTCCTGGCTCAGCAGTTGGAGTAAGACGCCTCACACGCGCGCTCACTCATCCCCTCTGTTATATGTTCACACCTTCAGCACCACACTTCTAACGCCCTGTATCGAAGATGCTACTTTTCAAGGTGATGCTCTTTACTCAACCTACTTCGTCAATATGTCACAGTAAATTTACATCTTTTGCGTCTTTGTTTACTTTGATCGATCATACAGAAGATGGTTCTATCAAATTACGTTCAAAGAATCTTTATTTCTCTTGGGTGAAAATACACAGTTTCTACAGAAACTGCAATTAGCAAGTAGTGGATTGGCAGTTGTACTTTGTTGTTTTCCTCTGAATCATATGTTTTCAGGCTCTCTCGGGTGAAGAGGTTATGAGTGAAGATGAAGCGCGAAAACGTCGAGAGCAGTTGAACAGGCGACCAAGTTATCGGTAAATTTCACTTTTTATAAAAGTGGTTTTTTGCTAGAAGCCCAGTGTGTTTTGCGTAATTTTCTATGCATTATCCTTTCTTTTTTCTTCTCCCTACAATCAGCACTAAGCCCCATTATCCTATCGGTCTCTGCATTCCTCGCGTAGCTCTATCTCTCCCCTCATGTTAGTGTCACTCACACCCTCAGTCGCTCATCTCCATGACAACTCGTTCGAGCCGTTCTACAGCGGGCTGATGTGTGTGTATAATGTGAGAAAGATATGCGTTCAAGCAGCTCCTTCGCTCAATAGAAGGGAGCATTTCTAAAATTATCTTTGGGAAAGTGCGAAATACGAGATATGTCGTCATTTAAAGGCGAGAAAGACGTCATATTTGGAACATGAGCGTAATTAGTTCCTTGTAGTGCTTTTAGAATTATCAATGTAAAGCTTCTGTTTGAGGGGCTCTACCAAGGATGGAGATGAAGGCTATGCAGAATTTCCAGTAGTTGATGCTACGACAATAGTTGACAGTGACAGGGTTGAAGAAAAGAAGTAGCTATGCTGATAATCCTACACTGCCCAAATCATATTGCCTGTGTTTTCTCGTTTCTAGTCTTTACTGCAAAATGTACAGAAGATTAATCTATAATCAAACAGTACCATTTCCTGGGAATGCATATGTATACTGAAGAAGCTCTCGAGATTCACATCTGAATTAAGACCCCTTAGCGAACCGCAGAAATTTGTGCCACACTCAGCTTGTGCCCTGGTTGCTGCGATGTGTTCTTACGTGAACAAAATGATCTACAAAGTATTTTGAAAGGAAAGTTTTTTAAACACCGTTAAATGCCCTATAAGCTTCCTTCACAATTTGATATGTCTGCTGCTTGTTGATCTTTCGAAGATAATACGTAGCATCCGCTCAGTGGATCCCGATTTCGTGGGAGGTTTAATAAGTACGTAGGATAGTTTCTTCCTGCTTGTATCTAAGCGGTGAAAACTCTAAGACTGACTAAACTTGATTTGCGACAAGTTCATGAAAGCGCTGTTTTGTGCCGGTTAGTGGACCATGTTTCTCGCATTTTTTTTCCTATTCCACTCAAATTCATGACCCCTCATTGTGCTGGTTTTGTTTTGGAACCGAACCGACATAACTGATGACGAATGTGAAATGGTATGGATATTTGTCATACTTTTTGATATTCACAGGAAGGAAATTCAATGCTTATTACAAGATTGCGAAGGTATAATCATCATGCGTTGTAATGGCCACACAAATGATTACACAATATAAATATCTGAACATCAACAATTAACTAATTATAAGAATAATTGCAATACCCTTGCATAGATGCGGTCTCTAGGTGAGCGCACGAATTGTATGCTGGAGTTGTTTGATTATAATGGTCATCTTAGTGACGGTCGGTCATCTCTTGTCTAATTCAAAAATTGCATCGGTAGTCACTCAGGTACATCTATCCACTATTTTCTCTAACCTGTGCTGTCAGTTTTCATATGAGTAAACTGAAAGAAGTTTGCCAGCAGCTTGAATTTGAAAAGTCTTGGGCAAACAAGCTCATCCTGACGACGCCTGGAATAGAGGACTTTTTAGTGTATGCTAAGTGAGCACTGGACTACTTTTCATGTTCTTTTTTCTCAGAGTCATGAAAATGTTGTTAGGGCACATTAGGGAAAACGATACCAGAACGCATTGCCACTTAGAGAAGGTTCTGCGAATTTCTTCTCCAGGATTGTAGTTGTTTTTCCTTCTATTAGTCATTAAACTCGTTTGGAAATGCATTTTTATGTCCCGGCACCTATTGGTGAGTAAATCTACGCAATTCACTGAAAACAGCCGCAGAAGTCAACTTTTTTCCGCAATTCTCACATTGATGGTCACTCACAAAGAATGATGCTTGCCGGTGACTCTGTTTCACAATCAAGAAAGTGTTAAGAGGTCTGTGGGGTTATATTGACAAATGGGAGGGTCAGATCGCTTTTCAAAGATACTACCTTTTAAGATATTGAAAAAGAAATTTGAAAAATATTTTTAAAAACCATCTTAGTGAGTCTGAGAAATGTAGAAGCTTCACATTGTTGTGGTTCATAATAGAAACTACAATAGCGATATCTTAGAAAATGAGCACAATTTTTACTACCAACAAGTTTGTTGGAATTGATCAAAGGAAAAGCTCAACTTTTAGTTCATAATCATCTTTGTGTGGTTTTCCAGTATCTTGCTAAAAGCTTCTATGTGAATGGATTAAGGATTTTTTGGAGCATAACTTTGTCTAAGTGTATAGCAATTCGTTTCATGCAAGCATACTGTAATCATTGTAAAATGCCTATTATCATCAGTCTGTCTTTCACATTTTGAACATTTCGGCGCTAGTCTCACGATGACTATGGACAATCTATTCCTTTATAATAAAACTGCGGAAAAAGGTAGTGCACTTTGTTATTTTTTCCCTTCACACTTTTTTATTGAATCGACGTGAGATAGAATCGATACCAACGCCATCGCTCAGCAGTGGAAAGGGACTAGAAAAGTAGTTTGTGCTAGTTAGTAGTCAATTTTCATAAACAGTAGAACATTTACCTTATAATTTTTTTCGATATTATCCGAGGTTAGCGTTTACGGCGCATACGGAAGAGTCGTCTGCCATACCGTTATCTAGGAACCCTTTTTCTTGTTCATACTTGGTTCATAAACTCCGAGCATTGAGCACGATTCACATTTTTGCGAGATCTTCTGTATGACGCATCAATGTGGTCATGGCATCGCTACTGTTGTCATTTTTGGCCAAGCGTGAAGTGAAGAAGAGAAATATAGTCGGGGGGAGGCGGGAGGGAGGGAGGTTATCTGGGATAAATTGAGATGTGGGGGGGGGTAGCGCGGTAGGGGTTAAGGTATTTGAGAATAATTGGCACACAGTGAGAAGCTGTGCGCAGATGTCATACTGTTGTACCATCCTTACAACTTTGATTTTTTGTATCACATCTGCATCCCAACCGGGACTCGGCACGAGGTGGCTAGTTGAAAATGCAAACAAAGTCCCCCTTTACTTTTGCAAATTTTTACGAAGTTCCCTTTGACCCTAGACCATAATTTCTAAAAATCTCCAGAAAACGATACGTCGATTAAAAAAACGTCGCAAATCTTGTGTCTTTTCGGCCACAAAAACGAAACTCTCTTTGCTTTTTTCCCCAAAAACGATATCCAGCTTGCTTACAAGCCACCTGTGCCGAGCCCTGAAACTCGAACATTGGAATAGTGAATCGGAATCACTTCACCTCAAACTTTTTCATCTCATGCTTCGCTGTGTTTCTTGCTTTGCAAGCTGACTGGGTAGATTTCTCGTCGAAGTTGTATATAGTGATCATAAAGGCATAACAATCCAAAACATACTGACTTTTTTTTTTAAAAAAGATAGCAGATGCAACATCTATTTGTTTTTATGGATGAGGATTACCCTTACAACGCTTGCAGTGACCTTTTTGAGGAATTTGCAGAGTTGAAGCATATTATTACTTTTTATGAAAACTATAGTAAGAACCTCAAACCAAAAAAGGGATTTCAGATTATTACGAAGCATTTACGTAGAAAATTAACATTAGCCTGCAAGACCTGGCATCAGTAAGCTATGAAAATGTTCGTCACATATTCTAATTAAATGGCAAGGATTGGGAGCTTATGTTTGAGGATTTTATACTCATCCGTCGATGTTTTGATATTAGCTTAGGCGTGTTAATAACGTTTGCCACAATAACAATGTATATGCTCAAATGTGATTGTGCTTTGAGCAGAACAAAATGAGAAAATATTGTTGGTGAACCCAATATGGCAGCAAAATGAAAAAATGTATTCATACTGTGAGAAACAAAATGAAAACAAAAGGGGTGAGAATTGACATCATGTTACACGAGGCTGAGAGCGGCTATGTCTTGTGCAATTTGATCTTTGCAAGGAGGTGAAAGAAAAGAGCGGAAATGTAAGCTTCACAGTGATGGAAGTTTTGATTAATGAAGTGCTGACATTTTCAGGATGATTCTGAAGGATTTGGAGACTGCAGATAAAGTACTGAAAAAGGAACCAGATGAGACTCCTCCCTCTTCCGTTGATGCTTCACCCCTTCAGGTACGGTCATCTGTTGTTTACGTAGATGGGGATCAGGGAAATCTGGGTACCGGAAACTTTTATCTGGATACTGTTTGAGAAGCCTTCATTAATTCATTGGCTAAGCGGAAGCTCCTGTGATTCATTCGTGGCTGAGAAATTTAACTTTAAGTTCTAGCCTGGACCGTAATCTTTCTGGGCGGACCGTACGGTACTGGGCATGAGTTCAAAAAAGCTTTTTTAAAGTCAAAAAATGAACTTTGTGAGCTCCGTTCAGACAATAGCCGGTTTAAGTCCTCTCAATCATTCACATAAGAAGCGCCAATACTAAGATCTGCCCTTACTTTGCCTTCCTCTTTCCTTGGAAGAAATGTTTCCAGGTCAACATACCTCCACCCACGGGACGATCTAGCGCAGCGAGTGGACCCAGTCCTTACGCGTCACCGCTCGCTGGTGGTCTCCTGCAAAGCGGAAATCTTCCGCATCCACTTCATCTCAACGGAGATCTCGGATCCCTGCCGCCGGGCCTCGACTTTGCCGCCGCCATAGCCGCAGCTGCGTCATCCAGTCAGAACACGGCTGCGTTGTCAGCTGGAGCCGGTATGTGATTTTGCCAGATGTGCTGTCAAGCTACTTGTTAATACTGGCCAGATTCGCATCTTAAATGCGGTCAGCGCAGATTCTGTTTTTTTTTTCGGCACTATCTAGTGATACAATTTTGATATTTTTATTTTACCTCGCCTCTTTCTGCATGTGCAGGGTTTTCGGTTAGGTCAGAGTTAATCCCGTTAATACGACAGAGAGTTTCCTGGCCGACTTTCGTGTTTCACATGAAGGAGTCCACTGACGTAGAACTGGAGGTTCAGGGTGACTTGCTGCTTTGCGCGGTGGTATCAAACTGGCTTATAGCTTCTGAAATTGACAAATAGATGGATTGTTCAGCTCTCTATGAACTTCGGTATGACGTAAATTGTAGTTGTTTGTATGAGCCGCACTCGAGATTGGTAACAATTATTTATTGGCTGACGTTTCGGCAGTGTCGCCATCTTCAGAACTTGGAATGGACCAAACGATCTGCAACCTATTACGATCAAGTGTCTGCAGCTTCATAAACAAAAGTTTCAAGGCTCTGCCTGTTCGCTGATTAGACTATCGAACCGACCCTTACCTTTTTGAAAATGCAGATAGCATAAAACAAAAAGATAAAAAGTAGAAATACAGCCCACTGTTAAAAGTTTCGGCTTACTTTTACTGTGTGCAAGTTGAAACGTTTCTTTACAAGCACTTAGTCAAAGTTATGAAAATAAGTTGAGAGTTTATCTCCTGGCTTACTTAGGAAAAATTGCTTGGCTTGTGATCAGTTGTTATACCGCCTTGGTCTTCTGACAGCGTGGCATTGTGATGGGTATTGCTCAAAATGTGGGCTGACAGTGGTTCAAATCATCCATTTATTTCGCGAGTTCAGTAGTTTATGAAATCCGGCAAATGTAAACTACAGTCTGTTTTATGATGATTCTTTTTGTGCGCCAAACGACTGGCTAAATCTTTACTAGCAAAATAGTTCGCGAAAATTGTGCAAGTGGATGAAATAGTCTCCTTAGCTTCGTTTGATCTCGACTTGGTCCAAGGCAGCGTAATTAGACAAAGTTTAAAAAGTTTGAAAGTTCTTGGAGCCAACAGTTTCCACGAAGGAGTATCATCTGTAGCTGACTCGAAAAGATCATCACAAAACAAGATAAAAAAGAATACCAAGAGAAAAAGCATTTTGAGAATATAAACTGTTTGTATACATGTGATTTTTTTTTCATATATTAGATCATTCCGAGTTCAGCGATTTGTCAAAGTTTGACTGTCATTCAATCAACTACTCATACCTGATTCAACTTTCATTGGTTTCTGATGCTTTGTTTTGTAGTATTGTAAAAGGTCATATGATATTCTTATAGAGCAAACCTTGCACTCTGTGACGCTCTTTCATACTTTCCGAATTGATTCTTTACAGTGATAAAGAGTCATCCTCTCTTTTTTGAAATTCTAATTTTTGGTAGCCCTGTAATAATTTATTTGAAAGTTTGATGATACATCATTCCAGGGATTAAGGCTTTATTTTCACTGAACCACTATGGAATTTTAAAGTGGTGGGAAAAGTAGAGATTTTTTCAGGGTAATCACCTGCGATAGAGTTTGGTAAGGATGATTTCAGGGGAGCCATGTGGTGTAGTGCTGTTTAACGGAAATTGTGGAAAAAGTAGCGTTTCAAAAATAGTGGATGTGCTAGAGCAAGACTTATGTGGCCATAGCCGTAAAATGTGTCTTCAATCACTTTTGAAATCATTAATAATTGAGTTGTAAGACCTGGTTCCAATTAGAAAAGCTAGCTTCAGAGATCACAGTGTTCAGGGGCCGTATCTGTTATGTGTTTTGGCTCGGTCATCAGGATTTTGTGAACCGCGAAAGATATCATCGATGTCAGAATTGAGGTTCTGGACTGCTATGATCAGTCATAAGTATCAGATCGGTTCGAAAGTTCGTCCCATTCTTAGGCTTATCATAAAAATAAGTGATGTAGATCGGCATTCCTAACGTCATTCGGCATAGCTTTTATTTTTTTTTCAACAGTCACATTTAGAACGGTCACTCTTGTGCTTACAAAATGATCGCTGTATCGACTTTTTTCCATGTCCGAACCTAGCAATTTTTTTAATAAAATTTCCATTCTCGACTCTTGGAAGAACTTTAATAACAGTTGGATAGATAAACGAGTGCAAGCAGCGCAATTTCTTCCCACAGCTGGTTTTCAGTATTCTCAAAACAATTACTTCCAGAAGTCTCCACTTGTGCGAAGACATGAATTAAAACGCTTCGAACATTAATAAATTTCCGGAATTTATAAGTAAAAAGCAGTTTTATCTCGACATCCATTTTACAAAGCAGTTGAGCTTTCAACGCTTTTGGCCAGATTTTGCTTTTTCCGGGTATAGCCTGGGGCGCGTTCAAAATAAGACTTATGATAATTCTGTTTAAGGACTAAAGACTTCATGAGTTTGGAACAAAACCGTCGTTAGAAAGGGGAAAAAGTTGCATGGAATAACACCTTAGTTGCGCGCCGTTCAATATTCTATAGTTTAAAATTGCCAAATACGATGATAACAGCGGAAAAATAATTTCAGAAATCTTGAAGAGCTAGCTATAGATGCCAAAAAATTGCATTGCATTGCAATTCGTACACTCTATTCGTTTGTTATCGAACGCATTTCCAGAGTCCAAAATGAAGATTTTGGAAATTTGCTAGTTCGGACATGGGAAAGGGGTGCGGAATCTTAGCGATAATTTTAGTAAGCACAGGTTTAATTAGTTGAGAAACATGACTGTTGAAAGGAGGAAGAAAAGGCGTCTAATGATGTTTTGAATGTCTGCCTTCCTTCATTCCAAGTATTTTCATGATAAGGCTGAAAAACGACACAAAATATTGGGACCTAATTTCATAGAAAAGTTTCTTGTGGAAAGAATTTTTACGTTTTATTTGTGCTTCATTAATTAACATAATCATCTGCGGTTTGCAGAATCGTTCATCTTGTCTCTGCTCTGCTTTTGAGCGGGAAACAAAGCGTTGATCGACCATCATGTCGACGTTCTCGATTAGGATGCGCTTAAGTTTTTCAGTGCAAAATCTTCTGTGTTCTTCTTTTCACAGTTTTCATGCTACCTAGTGGAAACTTCTTTTTACCGTTTGGGACCTCTCAGTGGGATAAATTTGATCTTGAAATTTTCGCACGTTGTTAATTCAGCAACCATTTGTGAGGTATAGCTATATGCTCTGAAAGACGCTTTAGATCAGCAGTCTATATCGTTTTGAATGAAATTCTCGTCGCTTATATAACTAGCTTAGTAATTAGCTCTGATTTTCTATCCTGAACTGGACGTGCAGTTTATATATACCTAAAGAGACTATTTATACCACGTAAAGTAAGTGAAAAAAGCTACTCTGCCATGACATGCATTTTCTATGCACTCGAAAGTCATCTATAATGGGCATACGTCTGTTACGTCTTGGCTTCCTTTTATAATTTTATCAACATTGTAAGATTTCAAAGATTAGAGTTACGGATAGCCTCCAAGAAAGTCTGCGATATCTCGTAATGAATAGCGATTATATAAAAACGCTCCACTGCGGATCTCCGCAATTTTTTTCTTTCTGAAACAGCCTAGAGTTATATGGGGTACAAAATGTGATAGCAAAGCTTTGCTGCAAGATTTTGTCATCCTGTGCTATTATCGGTGACTGTACGTCACATTCCTTCATTTTGTCATTATCGCTACGAGTACGTCACATTCCTTCATTCGTCTTGTTTTGTTAACGCTTTGCAAAGCAACCTGGGGCATCTCTATTGAACAAAATTCTGTGTTTTACACATCGGGGGACTGCGCTCACACTGACTGATGTTGTGTAATACCTTGATATCACTTCCCACGTTGTGTGCGGTAATCACAAATGATACGTCGCGCCGCGAATAACGAAGAGTAGTGAGGTGGCTGCACTTGCACGTGATCGCAAAAGGCTCGTCGCGATGGGGTTATCATCGCGTTCTTCCGCGAAATTTGTGGGTCATCGCCGCAATTCGTACGTCACACCAAATCGTCATTTGCTTGTACGTGCCAGGCTATTGTTCTAAACATCAGAGTTTTTAGATTCGTATCTTGCATTTTTGAGGTGGTAGGAAAGATGACTTAGAGAAATACCCCTTGAAAAATTTTTCAAAGGCCTTCTGATACAGTTATAAGTTGATTCTGTATAGAAAATTTCAAAATTTTATTTGATGTGCTTGCAGGTTCGTCCGGCATCCCCATGAACCACGACGGACATGTTATCAAACCTGTCGGTAGTATGGATCCCTCATCTTTTACAGGTGATAATTTTTTCACAGGATTTCTTTTTTTTCTTCCAAACATATATCGAGTCATTTTTCCCCAGATTGGCACTCCCCATTGCTTTCCGGGTACATTAGCTCCCCGTCCCCGACCATGGCGGCTGGATCGCGAGGTTCGATGGGCGGAGGTAGTTGCGGTGGTGGAGGCGAAGATGAATCAACAAGAAAACGGCAAGTCCGATTGCTGAAGAATCGCGAGGCGGCAAAAGAATGTCGTCGCAAAAAGAAGGTAGGTGTTATTTTCATCTATCGGTTGATCTTACCTTATTTTTTTGAAATATTTATTGGTTTGCTTGGCATTTTTCATTTATATCCATCTGCTTAGTTTTCTTGGGGTATGCAATAGTGATTATAGCCATCTGCTGACTGCGAACCTCTTTACATCAGATGTATTTTTTCAAGTGTGAGTTGTGCTATTTCCTTCTGTAATTCTGGATTTGGGGCATACGTGTTACGTTGTCTTGTTTTGATCTGGAAACTTCAATTTTTTTTTCATTATACTTGCATAGTACATCATCGGTAATTTTTTAGTTTTGAAGTTTTTTTTTTTTACTTTTGTTGTTCTTATCATAGAAACCATATCTTTTTGCTTTTGTTGTTCTCTGAATTGGGTCGCATCATATCTGTGCTACAGGTTATTTTGTAAAAGATTATTTTGTAAAAGCACTAGACCTTCGAAAATTTTACCACCTATGACTTAATTCTTCTCCTTCTTTTTGGGAGGTTCTACCACTTTTGCACCGATGTTACGATTGTGATAAGGTGCTATTTTGGGTCGATAAGGATTCGCGTGAATTTTGCGATCGATTTCATCGCTGAGCGACTGTTTTTCGCCTTTGTCAGTGAACAGTTGATGTGGTAATCTGCACGAGGAACAACTTTTGAAAATCACAACAAAATTTGGTCTGTCAGGTCGACTTTTTCCCTCTTTCTGAGATCTCTGTTGTAAGGGTGCTTATTGCTCAATGTGTATGTTTTTATGGACTGAACAAGTTTTGTTCTTTAGTGGATGATGTGAGCTCTTTTTAGAACCTCTGTATCCGTTGTGAGAGTTTGCATAAATTACTACCCCACCTAAATTGAAATTAGTCAGTAATTTGTTGGCTTGCTGCTTTCATGGTAATTTTGCAGGAGTACGTGAAATGCCTGGAAAGCAGGGTTGCGGTGCTGGAGAATCAAAATAAGGCATTGATAGAAGAGCTGAAGACGTTAAAAGAGCTCTACTGTCGGAAGGAAAAGGCGGATATGTAAATCAGTGAGTCGTATGGGGAAAGTAGTCATTGATCTAGTTGTAATTATACTGCATAGTTGTCCTCTGCGAACATCAGTCTCTCGTTTATCCCTCAACTGATTGCGCTATACGGTTCTTTGTATCCTACCCGATGTGTTTTTCTGTGGTTGTAGTTCGGACCATGTACGTTTTTTTGCTCTCAATGCGGGGCTGTACTCGATTCAATCTAGTGTTTTTGTTGCTTAGGTCGTCTCAATAGATACTCGAGGAAAAGCTTCCTCATTTTTTTGTGTTACTCCTCTTTTCACAGCTCTTTAGTCTCTTTGTTGTTCTGGGTTCTGCTTAGATTTTCCTCAGATGTCCTAACTTTGTATACAACATCCTTATTCTATCCCTACAAATTCATTGAGCACAGCTCGTTGTGATATTAATCCCTTTTGCTATGGTATTGTACAATTGTGATGAATTTTAAAGTTGGCGGAAGAATTCAGGAATTAGGAGGCAACGAAGGCCCCAGGAAATGCCCATCGTGGCGGTTCACCACAGGGTGGTGAGATGCGCAGGTTCTTGCGCAAAGTCGCCCATAGTGACGCGTAGTCGGAAGTCCTCAATGATCACAAATCTGCCATATATTGTATTCTCATTTTGCACCGTTCCTTCTTGTTATGTGTAATGATAAATTCTACGTTTGAGCACGTGCTCGCACTAGTCAGTTTTTTCATGTTCGTCAATTTTTTTCTTGCAAAAAATCACTTGGTTTTTTGATCAAGTATTGGAGTACGCAAATCCTTTCACATAAACATATTTCATTTTCGTTCTGGTGTAGCGTCAACCTCAGCTGGAGAGCGTTTACTAAACAAGTAACGATCGCAATGTTATTCCCCCTAAAGGGTGAAGAGTTAATTTCTTTTCTTTTTCAAATCTCGGGACACAACGCCTTGTTCGTTGGGAACCCACAGGGACACATAACCTTTTCGCAGAATTTAGTACAGTGTTTCTTGCTATCATCACTTGTGAAATTTGTCAAGAGCAAGCACTATCGAAATTTTCCAATTGTTTACACTTCAAGCACCGGAAATCGTCGAAAGATTTGTGGGTTGTTCCGTCCATCTCCATAAAATTTAAAAAAAAAGAGTCGACATTACAATGACTTGCAAACTTTATAGCCCAATTTTCTCCACTTCAAAAAGCAAACTAAATAGAAACAAAGGAAACCCAAGATCTTTTAGTGGATGTCAAGAAACGTCTTATTTAATCGAGACTAGCCAATTCCTTACCAGCCTTTTACTTAAAAAACCGCCCTACGGGCCGCCTACAGGCCGCATTATTGAAGGGAAATGCACTGTGGACCTGGACCGCTTGCAGACCGTTGTCCTGAGAAAGAACTGTCCTACACTCCTCCCCCCCCCCCCCCCCCTCCCCCAATAACCAATAGCTATGAGAAAGAACTGCCCTATGGGGAGCACTGCCCTACGAATCCCTACAGATATATAGACCTACGATCGCTTAATGGAAGATCGGCTCGAAAGCTAACGCACCGAATTTGAGAAAAAATATGGTCTACCAACTCTCCACATACCTATAGTAAACTTACAAACCAATATACACAACGAACAGTACCCAATTAGTCAACACTTGCTTTGAACAGCAGTCATGGATACTTCAACAGGAAACTGAGAAGTGAACAGACCATGTACAGTCGAGTAGATTTCCTGCTTAATATAGTGCTATTCCGGAATACACAACCCAAAAATTAGAAACCTCGGATTTTGCTAAAACTTTGCATACAGGGGCTATTTGACATGCTGATTATGAAAATTTCTTCAAAGTCCCTTGTGTACTCAAGGTGGCCCAAAAGAGGGCCGTTGGGACAAGGCTAGGCTGTTAGCAGGTGACTGGGTATAAGTTAGCCACCTGCTTCTAGAAGTTATCGACGTCTGCCTTCACAGAAGCTCTTTGAAGGCAGTGGCTCGGCAAAGGAAAGGCATGCTGTGCAACCAGGATTGCACTGTTTTCATACTTGGGCGATAAGGAACCTATCGCGTTAAAATCCCGAGTTGTTGAGTTTTGCCGATCCACTGCCTTTAAGGTACTAGCACTTGTGACTGATAATTACGCTCCGTATATCTTACGCTTTCGAGTATGACGTTCAGCACAGTTAAAGAAGAAATCGCCGACATTTCTTTGTTTTGACGACTAAGGAAGGTTGAGGGGGGAGGGGTAGAGAGATCATCTCAATCGTGCAGTCAAGAAGAGGCGGGACTTTGGGCGGGGCCGAAAACGTTGAACACGCCGAAGTGGCTAATCCCCACTTCAATGCTCTCTAGTCTTCGCATTATGTAATGTACCAATTGATGGCCCACAAAATGGGGTTATGGTAAGAATTAGATGTGATATTCGTGATCAGCGGGTTGGATAACCCCTGGACCAAATTTTAGGCGAATCTGAGATTTTGACCCACACCGTATGCCTACCGTAACCCCACCATATGGTTCTATAGTGAGAAATGGGTGTGATATTCGTGATCAGCGGGTCGGATAACCCCTCTAGCCAGATTTCAGGCGAATCTGAGATTTTGACTCCACACCTTATACCTACCGTAACCGCACCAGAATGGCCCTTTCATGCAAAATGATTAGGCTTTCGTGACCAGCATGTCAAATGACCCCTGTATGCACAATTTTAGCAAAATCCGAGATTTTTAATTTTTGGGTTGTGTATTTTAACAGCGCCGCGTTCTTTGCTTTCCAAGTAATTCGTTACTGATAAAAGAAAAAAAGGTAAGTTATAGAGTAGTTTTTGTTCTCTGAGTATATATATCATCGCTTATTTTGAGGTATTTACGTGGAAGCCACATCGTGTCAGTATCATGTATATTTTTTGTCACTTAATGTCTCGTTCTTCTGAAGCATTTCTTTGAACGCGCTAGTGAGCTCTGCAGCAAGTTTAGTTTTTACCTATAAAGAAGTAGCATCTAACCGAGTGGTTCTTGTGATAAAGACAAGTCAAACGTTAAAGCCGTTAAAGCCTAATAGCGCTCAAAAAAATCTTCACAAGAAGAAAGAAGCACGAGGTGACAAAAAATACACATGGAACTGACGCGAAGAGGCATGATGACAAAAAAAAAAACACATGAAACTGACGCGACGTGGCTACGTACGTACTGAGAATAAACAATGATTTGACTAGTCAGAAAACAGAAATTACTTTCTAACTTACCTTCTCCTTTACCAGCAACAATTCATGTAAAAAAAGGATAAGCAAAGAAAACACTGCTGAAATTTGCAATTGCATTTATTGACAACGTTGTCGCGTTTGCAGGGACACTATTAAGCAGAAAATCTACTCAACCGTACTGAACGTGTGGCTAACTACAGCATGTCCAAAGCACTGGCATGAGGCGCCAATAACAAGACTCAGTGAGCAAGGTTCAAATTCAGTCATACCCGCACAGTTCAAAGTTGCGAAAGAGGGGGGGGGGGGGACTATTAGCAACCTTACGGGAGTGTCGGCACCTCCGCAACATGGAGTTTTGCAATTTCGCAACGGGTTGTTGTGCCAAGCATGCGGGGCGGAGTTTGGCTGAGGCGCGTGCTTGGCACTGTTTTGACCATTCCGGTCTTTCGTCAGCTCAGGAGGAGCCTGTTATTGCTCTCTCCTGTCAAAATGTAAAAGAATGTGTCATAAGCTAGATAGAAGCAGATCTGCTTATTGAATGGAATTGGCCAGTAGCAATGGAACGCAGTAAGTCTTTCTTCGAGATGATTTCGGCACAGTATACCAGTCCTGTTTAAGTCTTGAACTCTAGTCAAATTCCTCACAGATGCAGCAAATACTCAAGGTTTTGATTTGGCACCGGAACGTTTTCCCTCATCTGCCAGCGTAGATTAGCTCGACTGAAGTTCAGATTGCTAAGTTTTCTGTCATCGTCGTATTGCTTGTTGTGAACCAAGTGACAATGTTTGCTTATGGCATATGTACTTGGGTCAGTCTTCATTGAAAAACTGCGTTGTTGCCAGACTTGAGCCTGTGCCTTCTCTCTGGGCTCATATTGTTCGCATACGCTCACGTGCCAGGATTACCATCGTTTGCTAGAATGGGGAAAGACCTGTTTATGGGTGGTTTTCGGAACTTGTTCTATGTCTAGTAAGCATCTCTTCATTTTCATCTCTTTTAGCAGCGCCAAAATTATATTTCTGCTCTACTGCGCTGCAACGATTGCATAGGTTTATTCGGGTATATTCGTATTTGCTATGCACAACATCATATAGCTGCTTTCGAGCATCGCTTTAGTCAAACGGGCCTACTCGGGAGAAGACCTTGCTCGCCCTCAGTCTCAAAGGTCGGAACAAAGGGTCGCACCCTCGTTGCTTGAGGATTGAGCATAACTTGGCTGTTCAGCCATACTATGGCTGAATACATAGTTATTGTGGGTTGCATCATAATTTCGCTCGGCGTTGGGCGTTTCAATTTGGGGTCGTGGCGCTGAATATAAGCCGCTGATCAGAACTGAAGATACACTTCTGGATATTAGTGGCTGAAGAGGTAAGTTAACGAACACGAATGTGATGGAAAAAGTGGTGAGATGTTGACTTTTTGAAGCTGAAGTGATCGGGGTCTCGACCCAAGGTTGATTGCTTGTGTGACGGTCTCACATATAGGATCTTGATTTTTAGCGAATGTGGAAAGGTGAGTTTAATGCCGGCTTCCCTAAAGCCGAGGTATTCCTGGATCCCAATCCAAAGGTTGACTGTTGAGTGACAGTCGCGTAAGTAGTATCTTGGATTTGACGATCGATGGGAAGTTCTTTTAATGCCGGCTTCCTGTGGCCGAGGTGTTCCTGGATCCCAATCCAGAAGTTGACTGTTGAGTGACAGTCGCGTAATAAGTATCTTGGATTTGACGATCGATGGGAAGTTGTTTTAATGCTGGCTTCCTGTGGTCGAGGTGTTCCTGGATCCCAATCCAGAGTTTGACTGTCGAGTGACAGTCGTCTAAGTAGTATCTTGGATTTGACGATCGATGGGAAGTTCTTTTAATGCCGGCTTCCTGTAACCGAGGTGTTCCTGGATCCCAATCCAGAAGTTGACTGTTGAGTAACAGTCGCTAATAGTATCTTGGATTTGACGAATGATGGGAAGTTGTTTTAATGCCGGCTTCACGTGGCCGAGGTGTTCCTGGATCCCAATCCAGAGGTTGACTTTCTGAGTGACAGTCACTAAGTAGTGTTTTGGATTTGATGAATGACGGGAAGTTGTTTTAATGCCGGCTCCCTGTAGCCGAGACGTTCCTGGATCCCAATCCAGAGGTATGTTGAGTGACGGTCTCGCTTGTAAAATCTTAGATTTTCAACGTATTATAGTTCAGCTTGGAACTGATTTTCTGTAGCCAAGGTATTTGAATCCCGATCCAGAGGTTGATCGTTGAGTAATGGTCTCGAATGAGTGTTCCGTTCAAGATAATGAAGGAGATAGGAGTACGAAGTCGGCTTCCTGAAGCCAGAGTAATTAACATAACTAACTTGCACACCATTGTATCGAGGAAGTCACGCCCTTTCTAAGTACAGGCTCGTAGATTGCCTGACGGCTGAGCTACAAGCCTGCAAATCGGTACAAGCCAGTGGTGAGGTGCAGGTAGGGTCATGTGCACACATTGTCAGGGGTCATTTTCAGCCAAAAAACTCATCAGACACGTCCGATGCATGGAGAATGGTAAAGAGCATCTACATTATCCGAACAGCTTTGTTGGGATGCCTTGAATAGGTTTCTCCGTGTGAATAAATTTGCTTTGAAAGAGAAAAATAGAAGT